AAAGCACTTTTTCTGTGCTTCTAGGCCTTCCTTGTCTGCAAGAAACTAGGGCAGGCACCGGGAGAGATGACTCTGTAGTGAAGAGCACCGGCTTCTGTTCCAGAGGACCCGGGTTCAATACTTGGTACCCACACAATGGCTCACGACCATCTACATAAAATTCCAGATCCAGGAGGATCTGATGCTCTCTTTGGACTCCTTGGAGACTGCAGACATGGTGCACAGATATACACTCAGGCAGAACATACATACACATGAAATAAAAATAAATAAAATTTAAAACAAGCTTGCCCACTGGGGATATCTTCGGCTTTGACTTTCCTCATTCCCCACTTTATGTCTGAGTGAAGGAACAGGTGTGTGGAAAGGGAAACATAATCCGAAAGGGCAAAGGCCATTTCCTCCTTCTGTCTTACACTCCGGCTTGACTGGCAGTGTGATTACAGGCCTCTGGCATGTGCACTTGGGCCACATATCCCAGCTGTCCTGACACTTGGCTGCGCACAGCTCTTTAGCAGGTGTCTGGCTCAGTTTCCTTTTGTCCTGCCCAGCCTGTACTGGCTGTTAGCAGGGGAGTCCAAGGACAATATTCCCAAAGCACACCGGGCAGTATTTTGGAAACTACTGCAAGCTGGATAAACAGTGGTGACAGTGCTTCCCCTGCCTCACTGGCTAGAGAGGGAAACAAATATCTAATAAACCCCCAAAATACAAACCAAGTATGATTATGAAAGGAATGAAAGAAAGATAGAGGGGTGAGCTCTCGACTAGAAAATGCTGGGAAACATTTTCTGGAAAACTAATTGCAAAACCCAGCCCCTGAAGAGAGAAACAAGGTGTAGACTGTGCCAAGGGAGTTCCAGGTGGGGAAGCAGTCGCTGAGAAGGGTCTGGAGGAGGTGGCGTGGAGGATGGAGCTCAGAACAAACAGTGAGAACTAGCCACGGCAAGAGTGCCATCAAGGGTGGGGAGGGTTTGCCAGTTCACAGGAAAGCTTAGGCGTGTGTGCCACTCCCCATGCTACAACTCTGACAGAATATAAGGGCAGATTATCGGATCTACTCTAAAAGGAAAAAGGGGGGTAGATAAATAGGTTTAAAAGTAGATTCAATGAGCTACCGTCTTATCCTCTTTTATATCCATCCAAGATATCACTACATATCCCAGTGTAATTTGAATCAGATTTAAAAGACTTCAATGATGTAACTTCTATTTTTTTTAAAAAAAGAATTAGCATGGCTGATATAAAGGGAGTGGACTGAAGATATGAAGGGAATTGACTGAAGATGTGAAGGAAATAGAGTAAAGATGTAAAGGGAATGGACCAAAGAGGCAAAGGCCAAACAGTGACGATTCTGATGAACTCGAAGAGAATGTTGTCAGGGGAGAAGAAGAGCCTCTGGTAATTAAAAGACACTGAGGTCATGGATTATGTCATGGTGAAGGTGTTGTTAAAATCAGCATCCAGGTTCCTCCTGGAGCCGGCAAATGAGTAGGGAGCCGAAAGTTCTCAGATTCAGAAAACTGGAGGATGTGTGTGGAGGAAAGAAAGCAGAGGTGACTCACAAGAAGTAGAGATCAAGAGTTGCATTGTGGGCATGTTCAGCTGAAAAGCCCCATGAAATATCTGTGCGGAGATGTAAGGTAGTCCACACATGTTCAGGAAAGAGTCGTGGGCAAGGAGCGTGCATGTGAATCACCAGCATAGCAGATTGTTTGAAGCCATGGCTTTATATGAAACACCAGGATAAAAGAACTGAGTTCAGATCATAGATGAATATCAGAGAGAAAAGAGAAAGGGAGCTGAGGAAATATCTCAGTTAATCAAGTACATGCCATGAAAACCGAAGGACCCCCAAACCCACATTAAAAGATTTCCATGTGTGATAACACACTGGGAACGTAGGGACGGTGATGTCTGGGGCTCACTGGTCAGCCTGCTTAGCTAAATTGATGACTTACAGGCCAGTGAGGGACCCTGCTTCAAAAATGTAAGGTGGAAAGTAGGATGATGGTTCATCAGGCGAGGGCACTTGCTGTTAAGCTGGATAACCTGATTTTGATCCCTATGTCCTCATGATGGAAGGCCAATAATTGTTCTCTCAGTTCCTATAATTGTTCTACCTCCAAACACATGCCACAAACAGAATCACTTTTAATGAACACAGCAAGTGGTGCCTGAAGAACAACACCTGAGGTTGACCTTTGGCCTCCACATGAGCCTATACACATGTGCACACACACACACACACACACACACACACACGCACACACGCACACACACACACACACGCACACACGCACACGCACGCACACCCACAAACATTGTGCAAGAGAAAGGACTCCAGAAGAGGATAAGCTACAGGGCAAAGTTGGAGAAGGCAGGAAAGCAAAAAAAAAAAAAAAAAAAAAAAACTGTCTACTGTATCGAATGCCACTCAGGAGCCTGACCACAAGAGTCTGAAAAGCAGAGTGGACTAGGAACTGTGAAGTCCTTGGGAGTCTCAAAGGGAGAAATCTGATGGAGCAGTGGAGACGAAGCCAACTGGGATGGGAAAGATGCTGAACTGGCAAATGAAGAAGAGACAAAGTGTCTGCCGGTAAAATTGTTTGAGAAGTGTAGGATGCCCAGAGAAGGTATCTATTTTAACTGATGATGCTCTAAGATAATAATAGTAGTATGTTAACAGGACAAGTGTGGTAAACTGGCAAGGTCTGTGCAGAAATGCTGAAGTCTTGAGAAGTAGGATGGGATGGCTGAACATAGTAGTCAGAAATTCCTGTGTCAGAAAATGCTAGAACAAGCTTATTTATGTTATAGGACAATTCTGTCAAGCAGTGGTAAGTCACTCTCTGTTTGGCTGTTCAGAATGTCTAGTGACACCATCTGGCCCAGCCTTTGTTTCCAATCCCCTGCCCCCACCCCCAGTCCTCTTTGGGAGCCCCTTACCCAAAGCCAGTTTCTGACATTTTCCCCAGCATGTGATGAAAGACAATAACTCCACCTGCCAAGGCCCATTAATCCCCTAACAGCTGCAGCATCCGGGCCACACCCTGACTCTCCTTCTTGAACAGCTTGTCAAGAGGGATGGAGGGATGGAGCTGGCTTCTGGGCTTGCTTCTGTCTGTGCTGTGGGATTTCCACCTCTACCTTAGGTCTTGAACACAGTGCAGCTTTCCCTGGGAAGTCAGACCCAGCAATGACCCATCTGATGCCAATAACAGAGAAAGACACGAGATGTGGAGACATTGCTATAGGGGAGCTATGCAAAGGTACACAGTTACACTTGAGGAAGTGGCAGTGTTCACAAGGAACCCAATGCTCTCTATTCATAGGCCCCCCATGAGATGTCCATCGTGGTACAAACTGCAATATGATTGCTAGAGCATAATTCAATTTAATTAGTACTTTTGAATAGTAAAATACTGACTATACCAAAACAAGACATCTGATATCACCAACAAAAGTTTCTGGATATCTCAATACAAAGTCTTTGAAAAGGAGAAGAGAAGCCATTAACTGAGACCACCCCTATTTCAGTGTGTGTGTGTGGGGGGGGCAGGGTGGCAATCACATGCCGTGGTGCACATGTGGGAGTCAGAGGACATCCTCTGTTAGTTGTTTTCTTTCACTTTGAGACAGAGTCTCTCTTGTTCTACAAATGTGTTGTATATTCCAGGTTAGCTGGCCTGAGAGCTTCTTGGGGATTCTCTTGTCTCTACTTCCCATCTTGCTAGAGGAATGCTGGGATTACAGACACATGCCTCCATATCTGGCTTTTCTCTTGAGTTCAGAAAACCCTAACTCAGGGTGTCAAGCGTGTACAGCCAGGGCTTTCACCTCCAGAGCCATCTGTCTCCTCGGACCCAGACATCAAGTGTATATCATTAACTCTTTGTCTTGACAGCAAGTTAGAGAAAAACGTGCCCACTACCTAAACAGGTTCTTTGGCATTTCAAAGGCTGGTTGCAGAAAGAATAGTTAAGTCTGAAATGAAAAGGCTATGCAGTTTGATTTTGACATTCAGAAAATGAAGTGGAATGTGTACATGAGCTTCCATTTCTCACAAAGTACTTCTGAGCTCAGCCTTCGGCAATGAGATCCAAGGCCTTTATTTACAGGTCTCAAACAAGAAGGGGGCCTTAAAAGGAAGTCACATTCAGTAGACATTCTTTCCACACATGAGCAGGAGAACTTACTCAGATTGAAACTCTTTTTCCTTGCTTAATAGAGAACAGCACAGCAAGGAAAGAATGTGTTAAATCTTGTTTGCTTCTTACTAACCCAATTTGGAATTTTATTTTAATTTTAGGCTTAGTCCAGCTGTTACGAAATCATAATGGAAGAAGAATGTATACTATTTCCAAGAGGGGGGAAATTCCTCACTAACAAACTAACACTTTTAATTCTAAGTTCTGCAGATTAGTCCCCACATTTTCCCTCGTGGCTGTCAGCTAACACATCAGTAAAACCTCAGCACACCGTCACCCATGGCCTGTAGATCACTTGCCAGTGTGTGGGGACTGGAAACAGCAAGACCTTTATTCAAGAAGCAGTGCACTTGCATTGGTGACAATGGCAAGGCTGGAAACTTGAGACGAATTTGAACAGAAAAGTAAACAGAAATGAGGCACGCTTGTTTGACTCTGCCCAAGCCAACCTGCAAGGACACCAGGGACAAACATGCTCAGTACACTAAAAATAATAAAACTTAATAAATGGAATCACAAACCAAAAAACAGAATCAGAAGAGGAGAAAGGCTAATGGGAAAAAAAAAGAACTTACTCATGAACCAGGCTGCCACGAGATGTCAGGGTTTCTGAATACCTGCTGCCTATTACCTGGCTTGTCTTTGTTTGAGACAACAGAGGACTTAAGAATGTTTCTCTAAAGCCATAATTTTCAGCCCAAATCATGCAATTCAGTTTAACATTTAAATTCCAGTAGCTGGAACACCCGCCTCTCCCCTAAAAAGCACATTCTAATATAGTCTGTTTACCTTGGTCTTTTCGCCTACGATGTTCTTTTCTAGTTCTGTGATTTTCCGGTTTAGATGATCCAGAATCTCCTTTTCTTTCATGAGTTCAGCCATCTCAGATTTCTGCTCCCCATCCAAAAGAGCGCATTCCATATCCAACTAAGGACATAAAAGAAAGCTCAGAAACATTTCACCTTCAGGAACGACTGCCCACCACCAAGGTGCAGGCTTAACAGGTTCTCAATAAGTGTTACCAAACAGCCAGATTGTGAGGTTTAGGCATAAAATCTGGGAGGCCTGCCTAAGAAAGCTGGATCAGGGGAGCCCACTATGGATTGCCTTAAAATGCTAGTTACCTGAGCACTTCACTTTCCAACTGCAACTTCCCTTCAGGGATACTTTGCCTATTTGCTTAGGCTTTAGCTCAAGAATAAACGGCCTGGAGTACAGCCAGCTCTTGTTTGTCCCTGGAGTCTAAGAAGTGAGCACTATTCCACCCCCATAAGAGAGGCCCACATTCCTAGAGGATTCCAGGGGTACAGGAGATGACAGGTGAGGAGTCCCCTCACTGTACTCAGTACTGTTGGCACCATCTGTGACATGAACACTCCACCTCCCAACCCAGGCAGAATTCTGTGTTTTCTGCCACTCCATACGATGGTAACATTTAAACGGTCACTGTCTTCTGCTTCTATTAAATGAGGGAATCTACCTCCTGTTCTGCAAATCTACAGAAAGTTGGTTTTATGTTTAATTCGCATGTGAATCCTTTTATACTATCTACATGATACCAATGTATACTAAGAATGCTCATAAAATGTTAGTCAGATTTGAACTTGAATGCTTCATAAGTAGAGGTTAATTTAGCAATTGGTTCTGCAATCAGAAAGCACATATCTCATTAATCCAAAAGCTTGGCTAGATGTAAAGTGTATTAAAGCTGACTTAATATGTTTATATCATCAGATTACACAACACACACACGAGCACACACACACAAACACACACACACGCACACACACACACACACACACACAGAGAGAGAGAGAGAGAGAGAGAGAGAGAGAGAGAGAGAGAATGTGAGGCAGGGGTCTCTACAAATGATTCTTACTGAACAAAAACAGAGAGGAGACTGTTTGGTCATGTTGACCTCCATGCAGTCACCTCTCAGGTCTGTTCCACAATGAGCTGAAATACCTAAGAGAGAGATGATGAGCTTATACCTCTCTGGAAGATTCGTCCATTTGGTCATTTATGTCTTTGATTTTCTGTTCAAGCTCCTCAAGGTTGTTCAGAATCACCATCCGGGCGTCTTCCATTGCAGCCAACTCCTGAGTCCTCTGTTCCTCATCTATATCCTCTGGGGTCTGTGGTCAAGCAAAGCAGATATGGGTTATTCCCGCTTCAGCTCTAGAATTTTCCTCTTAGACTTATAAAGCAGCTGCAAGGCTTAATGGGCCGGTGTTCCTCCACGTGGGTATAATTGAGAGGATCAACCTGAGCTACAGGAGACCTTTCTCAACCAAACAAAATAAATCAATCAAAAATCATTTTAAAGAGCACCTGGGACAATCTCATTGAACTCTAAAGCATTTTCTCCCAGAGAATACACTGCTCTACTCAATTACATACCTAGACAAGAGCCAACAAACCAATGTCCATCCACAAATTCATATTCTTTTACAGCTTCAAAGAACTAAGAGGCTATCCAGATGAGGGAGTGGTAGAATGCGGAGATGAAGTGGCCTCTCCAGTATTGTAAAGTTCAACACAGCGTGCACACACACACCAGGGAACCAGAAACAAGGCTGGACCTTTGACACCTTCCTTCAGGCGATCTCTCAGCACGGTGCTATGTTGCTAGCTTCCTTAAAAACTCCATCTGTAGAAGCCTTTTAACCTTCTAGTCACACTGCTAGGTCTTGCTATCAGGGTTGCCTCTGATTAAATATTTATACTTATTTGCTCCTCATACAAGGTGGACATCAGCTTTGTAATGACAATGTCACACAATGTCAAATGGCATATTTGATACTGCTAGTGGATGCCGCATGTGTTGTGTTAGTTCACATAGATGTCCTATAGACCATCTTCCTACATGGTTAAGATGTCAAGAGGACTGAGAATAAGATACTGGTCACCATTTATTACACAGAATAACCCAGGTTTCAAGGAAAGAGATGAGAATGCCCAACACTTGCAGTGACAAGGCATTCCCATAGTCTCACACATTTAATGGTAAATTTGGGGGGGGAAGGAATCCTGTGCATGATATACAAAGCCCAGCATGCAGACCCACTGCTTAAAAGGAAAACAGACTTCATCAAAATTGCCTCTTCTCCCTAGGAGTTTGGATTAGGTATCTTGAATGTCACCTGGTGGAGATAAAAAAAAAAAAAAGCTTTCTGTATAAAAAGAGATGCCAGGGGTGTTACATTATTATTTAATTTTTGTATCTTTTGAAATAAAGTGATTTTGGTGGTAAGTTGGTGACCAGAAAGTCCACAACTTAAAAATGAAAACAGCAGCACAGTTAAGTAAATTCTTGAGGATCCCTCTTTAATACTTAAAAAGATCATTCACAGGACATGGTGGTAAATATTTATAATTCCAGGATGTGGGAGGCAGTGTTAGAAGGACTGCTCATACTACATGACAGCCTGATCTACTCAGCAAAACTGAGGCTAGCCAGGGCTACAAGAAGAAGACCAGGTCTCAGAAAACCCAACCAACCAACCCAACCAAACCAACCAACCAACCAACCAACCAACCAACCCAACCAAACCAACCAACCAACCAACCAACCCAATCAAACCAATCAACCAACCAACCAACCAACCAACCAACCCAACCAACCAACCCAACCAACCAACCCAACCCAACCAGCCAACTACCACAATAATTAGAGTAACCAAACAATCACCGCACTTAAGCATACCTTACTGCATTCATTTGGTTCTTAATCCCAATATAACTTTAAGAAAATGTGTACCATGTTAGTGTCTACATGATTCATCTGTATTCTTCATTTCTTTACCCTATTTTGTAGTTCCAAAAGGAGACTGAATGACTAAAAATTCAGTCTTGGCCCAGTGTGGTGACTCACATCTTTAATCCCAGCACTCCTGAGGCAGAAACAAGCAGATCTCTGTGAATTTAAGGCCAATAGATACAAAACATTGGACTCACAAAGATATGATAGATGATAAAATATTTTCTTTAATTTTGCCAAATACAAATAGACTTGATATTGTAACTACAATTCTTACTTTATAACTTTTTGTTGTATATAATCTTACTATGTTAAAGTTAAAACTTTCCTTTTTTTTTGTTTTAGACAAAAGGGGGAAATGTTGTGGAATAATCCTCTTTTATACTATAAATATTTGTTACTCGAACTGGTTTAATAAAATGCTGATTGGTCAGGTAGGAAGTATAGGTGGGACAACCAAACTAAGGATGAAGAAGGGTAGAGTCAAGAGACTCTGGCCAGACAAGGAGAGAACAAGATGAGGATAATGTATGGAAAAGAGGTTCTGCCACATGGCAGAGTGTAAATAAGGAATGAGGATTAACTTAAAATGTAAGAGCTAATTAATAATAAGCTTAAGATATTGGTTGAACCCTTATAAGTAATATTAAGCTTCTGTGTGCTGATTTGCAAAGCAGCTGCCATGTATTTGGGCCCAGTGGCTCTGAAACAGGAAACTTCTGTCTATACAGTATCTCCCTATGACACACTACAGCTACCACAAGATTGTTTTTTTTTTTTTTAAATTTTATTTTATTATTTTGCAGGGAGCTTGCCAGAGCAGAGGGCAGATATGAGGGAATGTGTAGATGAATGGGATCAGGATGCAAGATGTGAAATCCACAAAGAGACAATCAAAAGTTAAAAAAAAAAAATCTAGTATCTCAGTAGGTTAGAACAAAGGCAGATAGGTCTTTCAAGGTTTGACATTTAGTTTTTTTTTTATAGTCATCTTAAACCCACTATCTCACCTACTAATAAAACAACTGCTGACATTTTCTATCACAAAGAGTGAAGTTTATTGCCTCAGTGCTCAGGCATTTGCTTTAGACTGTGAATGGCACTCAACACCACTACCTAGTAAGTGCAGGAAAGCCTGGTGGCCTTCAGTATCCTGTTGGGTCAACATCGAATATTAGGTTTCTACTTCCAATGGCTTTTAAATATATCTGTCGCCAGTGGAAGCAATGCATTAGGAGAAGACAAAACAAAAGAACAGTCTTCAAACTGTACACTTTGTAGGGTAAGGAGTGATGATAATTAATAATAGACATGTTAAGTATTTATATGCTCCAAAGCTTTTACAAACTCTATCACAATGGAAATATTTAGCAGACAGGAGGCTACTTTCTTCAATAAGGGCTTTTGGAAATTGTTGGGACATATTCAAGAGGCATTTTAAAACTGAATGCATTCATTTGTTTTTGAAGAGTTAGATGGGAGATGTCATTCTGTATATGTTTCTGGCCAAAGCACTGTTGGCCAATAGGAAAGGAGGATAGGAGGGACTAGGAGACGAGGAGGAAGAGGAAGTAGTAAGGAGGGCCAAGATGGAGAGTCTGGAGAGAGCAGTATGCTGCAGCCGGCTCCGGGTAAGAAGACCCACGGGAAATACATAGATAACACAAATGGGTTAATACTTAAGACAGAGCTAGCCAATAAGAAACTAACACCTGGCCAATAGCATTGTATCAAATACAGAGTCTCAGTGTGTTATTTGGGCTGGCGGGGCGGCGGGACAAGACCGGGCGGAGGGTGGAAAAACCGTACACCTTACAAGAGTTCTTTATTTGTATATGTTTTGACTGCACCCATGTCTGTGCCCAAGAGCAGAAGAGGGTGTCAGATTCCCTGGAACTGGAGTTATAGCAGTTGTGAGACATCTGAGGTGTGGATACTGTGAATTGAACCTAGATCCTCTGCAGGAGCAACAAATACTCTTAACCACTGAGAGATCTCTGCAGTCACCAAACTGAGTGTTTTGTGACAGAATGGAAGGAAAGTTGTATTGCAATCTCATTAATAACAGAATAAATAAAATTGGTAGAACCAACCTTGTGACAGAAGATGGATATCTTTAATTATATTTAATTATATGGTGACTAAAACGGGAAATTTTGAACACATTGCCCTTTATTTCAAGTGTGGGATGCATTTTTATAGTAAGTGTAGAACTATATCAGCAAATACGTCATCTTTGAGGTAACTTGGTTCACAAAGAAGCAGAAGAGAGGGTAGGAATATGATTTCTACTCCCATCACATTTTATACACCTCCTGCAGCTTGCTGAGGTGCATGGCTTGTCACTGTGGACGGAACAATCACCGAAAAATAGGCCAGGAGCTGTCTATGAGTCAGCTGCCTCAGATAGTGGTAGATAACTTCATGAAGACCATTCAAATGAGTGTATTTCCAAGGTCATGAACATCTTTCGGTGTTAGGTAAACTAAGTTTCTAACTGGTAAATTTCAGCTTTCCTAAATGTCCTAAAAATCTTTGTTTATGATAGATTCTGAGTGTGTGTTTTTAATATTCCTCTCTTCTCTACTTTACCACTTACCAATTTAACTAATAATAAGCGCAATTTCAGCTTTCCTAAATGTCCTAAAAATCTTTGTTTATGATAGATTCTGAGTGTGTGTTTTTAATATTCCTCTCTTCTCTACTTTACCACTTACCAATTTAACTAATAATAAGCACTGTACTTCATTAAGCAAATAATCCAGGAGCACAGTTTTAGGAAGAGGACACTCCAAACAGAGGACCAGGAGGTTTGTCTAAGTTTTCTGCTTCTGTTCTTGAGTTATCAGAGGCCTGCATTTGAAAGCTAGGTGAAAACTTATCCCTTGGAACCCATTGCCCTCTCATTTGCACCCTCACGTGCTTGGTGGCCCTCCGAGCTGAGTTTGATGTTTCCTGGATCTACCAATACACTCTCAGACAATGGACTCTGCATTACTCTCCAGGGCCTCCAATTTCACAAGACCTTGTTTGAGCAAATTAAAGCCTCTGCTGCATCTGCTTATTTAGACAAGCTTCCCTGTCATAGCCGTCTCCCAGAAGACACACTTTATTTAAAGAGAATATACAGCTCAACGATATTAACAACATCAAGCTACTCTCTATAAAGGAGAAGAAATAGAAAATAAAGATGATGGGATGTCACAAATCTGTAAGAAAGCCGCTGATGATAACTCTGCAGTTTCAAAGGGATTTACTTACTTTTCCTGAGTATCCAATAATTTTCTCAAAAAATGTATTTTTATTTCATCTGTATAGGTGTCTCACTTGCATGTATGTCTTTGAACCATGTGCATATTGTGTCTATGGAAGCCAGAAGAGGACATCTGATTCCCTGGAACTGGAGCAACAGACCACTGTTTCCTACCACATGGATGCTGGGAAGTGTACCCAGGCCCTCTGAAAGTACAGCTAGTGCCCTGAAACACTGAGACATCTCTTCTGCCCCAACACAGTAATTTTTCACTTGCCCCCCACCCCCATCTTTCCATCCTAATTGCTAAGTTTCAACTTGTTATCAGGAAGGCCAGATGTGCTATTGAGAATTTCTCTCCTCTGAGAATTTATGTAAGAGAAATATGGCATAAGAAGGAGGAAGTGATTGATGTACACCATATATTTAACACGCCACAATCCTGGTGTGTAACAGGAGGTGCTCAATAATACATGAGAACTTCTGACCAGGAAGAATCAGTATGAAAGTACTGCTATATAGTTAAGCTAAAAACATAAAACCACACATGCAAGCTTCCTTGAATAATGATTCATGTGAAAACTGGGACTTAGTATCATGGTGTGACATTCAAATGTCCCTTTTTAAAGTTAATAGTGCTACTGTTAATATTTACATTTTTGTTTAGGGTAGGTTTTGGTGTGTGTGTGTGTGTGTGTGTGCTTGTCTTCTTTTTGTGGGTAGTGCTGGACACTAAACCCATGGTTTTGTGCAAGCCTTTTACCACTGAATTATATCCCTGATGTCTCTCTCTCTCTCTCTCTCTCTCTCTCTCTCCCTTCCTTTCTTTTTGTTTTGTTTTAAGACAGGGTTTCTCTGTATTGTTTTGGAGTCTGTCCTGGAACTTTCTCTGTAGACCAGGCTGGCCTCCTGATGTTTCTATTAAAGGATCAATATTTGGACTGGAGAGATAGCTTAAGGGTTAAAAGCACTTCCTGCTCTTGTAGAGGACCCAGCTTCAAAATCCCAGCATCTACATGTAACCAGTCCCAGGGAACCAATGCCCTCTTCTGACTTCCAGGGGTACCAGGCATGTATTGGGGGAGGGACACAGATATACCTGCTGGCAAGACATTTAAACATATAAAATAATTTTAAAAAAAATGTTATGTATCCTTCTAACAAAGAAACAAACAAAAAACAAACAAAAGCCCCAAATTAAAAGATCTTTTGTTAATATAATTTTGTGGCTATGAGGGTTAAAGATTGTAGATGGCATTATATTAAGATTTACTTTAGTTAGTAAAATCTATTCATTTTTAAATATATCAACCCACTTCATACTTGGGGTAGCATTTCTCTCTTATCTTGGTATTTTAATTTAGCCAAATTTTAATTCTAAACATCCTTTTTGCAAAAACAATTTTGCAAATTTTTAGAAACTTCTCTAGAAAACAAAAATTCTTAACCTGTGTAGAAAAAAAGTAACACTAAAAAATGTCATTGAACTTCATTTTTAAAACCTTCAAATTTGGGAGATTTTTGTAAGCCAGTATACAATCAGAAGACTGGGTAATAATTATGACTACCAGTAAATATTAAACCCTTACATTTCTAAAACGGGTAATAAATAAAGCCACTGGGAAGGTCTCCCGTAACAAAAGACTAATGCTACCAACAATCACTTCTTATAATTATTTTGTTTTGTTTTGTTTTTCAAGACAGGGTTTATCTGTGTAGTTTTGAAGCCTTTCCCGGAACTTGCTCTGTAGACCAGGCTGGCCTCAACTTCAGAGATCCGCTTACCTCTGCCTCTTGAGTGCTGGGATTAAAGGTGTGTACCACTAATGCCTGGCTGCATTTCTTATAATTAAGTAAAGGTTGGATAAATAAATTTTAAAGAAAGAGTCAAAATGAAAAATATTTTGAAATATGAAAAGGTACCGATTTTATGCATAATTACAGATAAATTTAAAATACCTTTCAGCTTGGAAAATTGAAAAATTATGACAGTACACAGCCTTAACAAGGGCATGGGGAATACATTGTGCCATAAACTAGTGAAAGTGAAAGGCAGAAAGATGATCTTTTTAAAAAACTTTTTGAGATTATAATAATATTATAGCATTTATTTCTCCCATTTTCTCCCCTTAAATCCTCCCCACCCTCCCATATACCATTCCCCACTCTCCTTAGAATACAGGGCCTCTTTTCAATACACACACACACACACACACACACACACACACACACACACACACATATATATACTGACTCAATATGATGTTGCTTGTGTGTGTGTTTTCAATACTGACCATTTGATACTGGACATGTTGTCTTCCCTGGGGAAGACCATCTCTCCCATTCCCACCCTTTCCCAACTGTGCAGAGCAACTATATGTTAAGGGAGTACAGCTTGTGTATGTTCATACATAAAATGAATAATGTACAAGCTGGGCATAGTGACTCATACCTGTAGTCCCAGAACTCAGGAGACTGAGTTTCAGTAAGTGACCTAACAGGTACATAGAAGTATATATCACAGAAAATGATTACATGTGAATTTTATTATCCCAAACTGGGAATGATATGTGTGCTCCTTCCACTAATCCTAATCCAAACAATAATGTTGCAGAGAAATGCAACTTAAAAAGCACATTGGCATTCCATCTCACCCTGTAAGAATTTCTATTGTCAAGGAAACAATGTGTGGTGGAGTGGGGGAGACCTAACACACTGATGATTGAAATGTAATTTAGTGCAGACACTACAGAAATCAGTATGGAGATTCCGCAAAAAAAAAAAAAAAAAAAAAAAAAAAAAAAGAAAAGAAAAAAGAAAAATAGAACTTCTGTATGAGCCAGCAGTATCACTCCTGAGTATATACCCTAAGGGTTCCAAGTCAGCATCCCACAGAGGTAGTTTCATATCCAAGTGTATTGTCTACTGTACAATATAGACACACACACACACACACACACACACACACACACACACACACACACATGCATGCCAAAGCAGTATCACCTAGCCACAAGAAGGAAAGAAATTATGCCACCATGGGACAATGGTTGAAACTGGGGACCGCCATGTTAAGTGAAATAACCCAGTCTCATGTTTTCTTTCATATATGAGGTGGGAGGAGCAGGCAAGTAGAATGGGGACTATTAAGAAAGTGAAGTGAGAAAATGGGGAGGGACAGGGAAAAGAAAGGGTAACAGAGGAGATGAATATGATCCAGTTACGTCCGTCATAGGCATGTGTGGACGTTTCATGATGAAACTCGCCCAACTAATATATGCTCAGCAAAACAATTTAAAATGCTATGAATAAAAAACTTCCATCAGAATTCTGAAACACTAAGTAGGATAGTGCAGCATACACAAATGCCCCTTTAATGGAGCGAGGTCATGAAGAACAATGGGTGTGTGCATGAATCCACGCGCAGGCAATACAACAAGGCACACACATAGCAAGGCACGTAAGCAAGACGCACAGCTTTACTTCACTTAAGTGAATGGCTGAGATGTGCAGGGAGAAGGTATCGGATGGCCGCATCTTCACAGTGCAAATGTTACTTTACAGCAGTGGTTCTCAACCTTCCCAATGCTGTGACCCTTTAACACACACATTTCCCATGTTTTGGTGATCCCCTCAACCAGAAAATTACTTTTGTTGCTATTTCATACTGTAATTTTGCTACAGTTATGAATTGTAATATAATATCTATGTTTTCTTATGGTCTTAGGTGACCCCTGTGAAAGGGTCATTGCTCCCCAAAGGGGTCGTAACCCAACCCTAAGTACCTCTTCCGTGGAAGCTGTATTTCCATGTCAAGAAAATGCCTGTGTTTGGCCCTGTTCCCCAGTGGTCTTTCCACCCAATATTACCTTCGGTAGGATACTGAGGTAGGAGGACTCATTGGATGTTTTCAGAAACGCAGCTGAGGATGGCGGGGGCGTCCTGGTGAGGTCGCCAAGCAGTTCATCATTCCTGCTGCCCCTGGGGGCCAGGAAACTGGCACTGTGACTGAGGCTCCCGAAGCCAGCGACATCAACATCCTGGAGAGAGCCTTTCCGATGGCACCTGTACCTGGCATCCGGGCACACCAGAGCCTCCTCAAACACAGACTCTTCATCAGACAGCTGCAGCTTCTCAAGCTCCTTGTTGATTTTCTGCACATCAGCCACCGTGGTGCCAGCTGACAGGCGTCGACCGTCCGGCTTCGTGTACTCAGCACAGAGACTAAGGATGGTCTCCAGCCGCTGCCGCTCCTACAACATGAAAGGAGGCGAGGTCACTCACTGAGGGTGGCAGAAGGGAGTCAACTCCGGACTGACTTTGGAGCTGGAGGGCTGGTTCACATACTGATCCTTCCTCCTGCTTGCCCGCCTGTCCTCCCTGCCTCCTTCCTCTTTGAGATAAGATCCCTTGCTGTCTATCATTGAATTCATAATCCTCCTCTCTTGAAGGCTGGGAATAGTATGGAACAGTTTGTCATCCCTGGTTTCTCCTCTAAACCTGCTGCTAGCTTCCTGCCCTTCACCTGTGTATACTTGTGCTGACTTGTAGCATACATCAGATTCCAATAAGCATCACCTTGATTTTTCAAGTCTCCAACACTTTGAATATGAATATTTTTCTTTAAGTCTTCCTTTCTTAGCTCCCTCCTTCTAACCCACCTTTAACAACAACTAGCTCTCCCAGTATTACGGATTTAACACTTGCGCTTAAAACTGAACACTCTAGCTTCACAGAGAAATGCTCTTTTTCACTGTTAGACACATCAAGAGAAATTTGGCATTTAAAGTATCTTTCAACGCATAGGCTTTGTCTGTGTCTTCCTTTTTTTCTTACATTAAAATTTCAAACCTTTTAAAATGACTGGTCACTGTGTAAAGGTCTTCTTTAGTTCTTCATATGAAGAAAACCATCTATTAAATGTATAGATGGCTCCACCAGAACAGACATGAACTGACAAGCTGGGTGACCTGAGTTCAGTCCCTAGGACTTCCATGATTAAAGGAAGAGAGCTGATTGTTGCAAGTTGTCCTCTGACCTTCATATATAAGCTATGGCATATGTGCAAACTTGTGCTCCTGAACACACATGCATAAACACACACACACACACACACAAATAATATATAATTAAAATGTATAATTGTTGCAATAAAATAAAACACATTTCATATCAAGTCCAGATAGAATGACATCAATATAGCTCAAACCCCAAAATCATTGAATGTGCAATTTGTGTACCTGAAAAATAAAATGGTAATTGACTTAAAAAAGGAAAACAGGCCACAGGCCATCAAGGTCTCTAACGATACCACTCACTAACTGACCCCTCATCAGACTCCATATAAAAACCTAGACATTTATAATTTTAAGCAAATTAATAACATAGTTATGAACAGCAGGAAATAATTTACCAAGTGGTTCTCATAAGCCTAGACAGCCAGGCCTGGGGTGGGGAGCCTCACATAAATCTAATACCAAAATGAAAACAAGAACCCAGACCGAAGGCCATCTGTTATGATTAAATTCTACCACACTGGAAAGAGACTTCAAAGCCCCCCATAGAAAAAACATTTCACAAACTGGCCATCAGCAACAAAACAGAAACATATTCTGCACACTGTGCTGCTTATTTTCATTGCAATTGCAGCTAATTTGTGAAGGCAAATTCAGAGTTACTTCTTTCTCAGTCGCAGTAGTAACAAAGAAGTAACACACCACTATGCTTCCCTGGTTTCCATTCAATGTTCTAACTGACTAATTTGAACTCGTTTCAAGTGTCCCTGATGGATGTGTGCCTTGTGAAGTAGCCCCCTCCCTCTAAAAATGTAATAACTTGATCAAAAAGTCCATTGAACTGGTCCCTGTAAACTCCCACCTCCCTGCCATTGCATGAACGTCTGGGCTCCAGCTGCAGGTCTGTCCTCATGGCCTCTTCCCAGGCCGGCGCTTATAGCTGGACAAGCCCAGCTCTTTTCATCCAGGAGTGCTGGCCCTTATTTATCTCTGCAGCTGCCACCAGCTGCCAAGCCCTTCCCACCCCAGCTCTAGTGGGAGGCAGTAGGGGATACATCATCTATCATTTTAAAGGACCCAATAATAAAGACTAGTCTACACAGGAATACATTAAAAAAAAAAAAAAAAAAAAAAAAACCAAACAAACAAAAAAACACTTTGTGAGGGCATAGGTAAGAAGGGACATGGGTTAGTTACATCTTCACCTTTCTGTACAACATATGCATTCAAGACTAAATCTCCAAAGAAAACCCCCCTTTCTGCAATTTGGGTTTAAATGGAGGCATCTAGAATCAGTCTTGGTCTTCATAAACCACATAGGATATACACAGTTATCGTTGTCATTTGGGATTATCTGACATTATTGATTTGCATTTCCCAGGAACCCAGGAAACCGTATAATCTTCAAATGAAGGAAAGCTACTCCTGCCTAGACTAGGAAACACAGCAACATTCCTCCCACATCTCCTTCCCAAAATAGTTGCCTTTGCTGCCCGGGCTGTTGCTTAATTTCAGAGGGAATAAATGATCCCATCCCTAAGATGGATGCTATTTCAGACAGGGAGACGCAGTATTCAAAGGCTTGTGCACAGGAAGTTTGGTCTACTGGTATGTGTCTTGCTATTCTTATCACCCCATTCGCAGCCAATCTGTCCAGATTGAATCAGACACACATGCAGCACCGCTGCCGACAAATCTAAAAGAAATCCATGTGGTGCCAAGACACACTGGCCTCTTAGAAGCTGCACCGAAGAATAACATGCTGATACTGAGAAGTACGTCAGAAGGGGGACTGCAGAACATTTCAGAAAGCGCTCCAGCAAGCCTTTTAAGGAAAGCCCTGAGCTGAAGGAACCCTCTAGATACTCCTCCCTTCAGCTGCATCCACTCTGGTGTCTGGTTCCACAGTAGTCATCACATGGGGATCCTCCTTCTTTCCTGTATGACCTCAAGCCAGGGCACAAACCCCCCTCTGAGACTCAGTCTTCCTTGAAGCTTGGCATTGCAGTGTGCAAAGCCGGGGGTGGCCCACTATGAGATATCCACATCATCCTGTCCAGTGTCCCACATCAGTAATCTCCCATTTAGAAGACTGGTGGCTGCGAGTTCTGATGCCAAAATCACTGTGATGTTAAGTATTTAGGAAGCAAAACTATTCTAAAAACATTCCCTCTCTCTTATTTCTCCTTCCCCCATCTCTGTATCCCACACATACCCAGGAATTTTCAAGGGGTCATAATAGCTTAGAAAATGTAATGAAAATATTAATGCACAATTCTCTGACCTTAGACATTAACATTTTTTAGAGGTGTTGAAGGCTGGTAATACATTTTTATTTCCAAACTTTCTACTTTAGGTTACTTCTGCCATTGTTCTATTACATCCCCTAAATGAGACAATAAAAAACCACCCATTCACCCCAAAGCCAACATCTGCTGGTCTAGCTCACAAGATTGAGAAATACTGAATAAATAAATTATGTAGAAAACCAGCTAACAATGCACAAAACAGAAGTGAAATGCCTGCTGGATGATTTGTTATAATGTACTGAGTCAATTATTTCACAGGACAAGAAGTGTCACCCTATAGTAGTTACATATGAGTTAGTCAAAAGAAGTTCTCTCTTCAAAGGACCTCTTTTGACAGGTAGACATGGCTTTACTTTTCTCCCCCCCCCCTCTCTCCCTTTCCCTCTCTCTCTCTCCCTCTCCTTTTTAATGCTAGGGACTCACTTTTCCCATAATCATGAATTTTGGCAAAAAACTATTAAGTGGCTCGCTTCCTGTTGGTGTGCACAGAATATGTAGGTGAAAAAGGAGCCCTTCTTTATTCATATTTCAATAGGAGGTACAAAACAATGACCAGCTACAGAAACAGCAATTCACACAGGCTTACAAACACCCTATGGATTAAAGGTGGAAAGGCAGCTCAATGGCAGAGCATACAGAGATCTAAAAATGACTGTCAGAATGCCAAGAGATAGAGTTAAAAGCATGTATACAGAATTTCCAGGATGCCAGGAGCACAGGCTAATGTCTCAATTAAGTAGGCCTGGCTTGGTAATGGTGATGTACGCCTATAATCCCAGCATTTAAATTGTTACGACTCTTATATGTGTGTGTTTAAATCCCTTGAGATTAGTAACTGAGGTGTTAACATTTTCTCTTTTGGGCTCGGCCAAAATGGTTTTTCTCCACCCCATCCCCAAACTACATGGTCTTCAGATTTGTGCTGGCCAATGAAATGCAAGATGCAGTGGGTGACACTCCTGTACAACAAGAAAGTATCATTTACTACATGGCTTCCCTAGCTGGGGCAGACTGACACCAATAGAGGAAATGTGGAGCTGAGGTCTTAATCAAGCCACACTAGCCATGAAGTGTATACAAAAGAAATAGATCTATATTATTTTAAACCTCTGAAATAGATTGTACTCTTTCTTTTCCTAGAGAACAATTATGACTGATAACTTGTGCTTCATCGTATCAGGAAACTGACCCAATACTTGGAGACAAGGGACACACGGATCCTGGTAAAGAACCCTCAGTTGCTTACTGAATAAACATTATCTTTGTCCAAAGATAGACCTTCATTTAGGGCAGTCAGTAGGTTAGTAGTATTAATAAATGTAGGGTGGAGGTTGGATACTGCAAAGGGACTAATCATGTGATTTTCTATGGAAGCCTTTGGTCAGGGTCCACTCAACAATGTCTGAAACTCCATGGTCAATCAATCATCAATGAGACATACATGGCAAAGGCTCAATAAAACAAAATCTATAGACAACAGGCTTTCTGGTGTGCGTGTCCTGCCACATACTGCTGTCCAAGGCTGGTAGAATAGTGCATCCTGAGTCCCCTGCGAGAGATGATCCAAGTAATACTTCTGTTATCCTCTGGACACTGCCCAGTGGGCCTCTTCTTTTGGCTAGTGTCTATTGATTCCTTTCTCAAATGTTAGAACTGTAACCATTATTATGGCCTGCAAACACTTTTATGAGAACTTCTGATGGGAGATGTCATTCTGTACATGTTTCTCGTATTGGTTAATGAATAAAGCACTGTTGGCCAATAGGAAAGGAAGATAGGAGGGACTAGGAGATAAGGAGGAAATAGGAAGTAGTAAAGAGTCAAATGGAGAATCTGGAGAGAATAGAACCGCCAGCCGCCTCTCGCTGGTAAGACCACGTGGAAATACATAGAAATGGGTTAATAATTAAGACAGAGCTAGCCGATAAG